TGTTATCCCGTCCTACCTGGAAGAGGTTTACTTCCACTCTTCCTTCGAGGGTGCAGCGGGCCACCCTACCTACTTCTCCTTGTCGCCCGGTCACCGCCACCCAGTCTGACCTTTGTAGGGTGGGGCCTTTGTGAAGGATCCTCCACCAATCTAGGGGGATCCTCTCCATGATCGCCTCCAGGGCTTCATGTGGTCAGTGACAGTACCGCAGTTTCGCCCGTAGCTGGTCGGGACTTATCCAGTCCTTTTTCTTTGTGTCCCATACGTCCTTCACCCTCATTATCCCTCGCTTGATCCATCCTTGCCAGGGCGAGTCCATGCAATGGAGTGTTTGTCCTTTCGAGTCTACCACTCATTTGTTGTCAAAAAGGGGTTGCCTCGCCACTTCCTCCGATCTATCTGGCGGTGTTTTATCCGGCAAAGGGAGGCTTCTCCATGTTTTGAGGAGAGAGGGTCAGAATGGGTCATTTCGTAGGTTGGACCTTGCTGCCTGTCTGGGGGAGTGATAATCAGGATCTTGTTGTACCGGTCTTCCCCTTGGGATGGGTCAATCCCTGTTTTCCAGCCACATTCGAGGGTCACTCCCCTCTGTTGTTTGCGGTGCCAATCGGGAAATTTGTTCCAAAGCTAGCCCCTTCCAGGGAATGTCAGGGATGAAGATCAACCGTTTGATCCATTGTAATGTCAGTGCTTTAGTCTGTACTAGTGGGTCAATAATGCCGAGACCCCCTTTGGATTTGGGTTGGATTATAGAGTATCATGCCACACGATTGATCACGTTTACTTTCTCATGGTCGCTCCTCTATAGAAAGGTTGTTATTTACCGCTTTAATTGGCGTAAGGCCTGCTTGTCCAGAGCCCAAATTGCTGACTTGTACCATAGCGAGGCCAGCACCACGTTGTTAATTATTAAGGAACGTCCAAATACCGAGGTGTGTTTGTTTTTCCAGAGTGTCATTTTTGCCAGGGGTGGGTTTGTAAGTCATTTGTTGTTGACGGATGGCCTACCTCCTGCCGTCATTGATATGCCCAGCACTCTGATGGGTGCCTCTTTAGGGAGTCATTTGAGTTTGGGTTGCTCTGGAGGTCTCACACCCTGATGGTGGATCCATCATCCCTGGGTTTTGTTTCCCCAGTTTACTCTCATGTCTAAGAGTTTGCAGAAGCGGTTCATCATGTGTTGTATTTCCTCCATTGATTCCTTGGAAGCATCCACCATTAGGGTCAAGTCATCTGCAAACAGTGAGCGAACCGGAATTGCTTCTTTGGGTATTGCCGACACTTGGATTCTTCTAATATCCTTGTGGGTTCTTAGGTTAGTAGCTAGTGCTTCCATGACTATTACGAAAAGATATGGGGCTATGGGGTCCCCCTGTCTGACTGATCTTTGAAGGTCGATGGGGGGGGCCAGATTGTCATTCACCATACCCTGGTAGTAGCATTGGAATGAAGGATTTCAATCCACCGCCTAAAATCCGGTCCAAAGTTGAGCTTTTCTAGGCACCTATCTAAAAGAGCCCAATCCACATGATCGTATGCTTTTTCGAAGTCGATAAAGATGATAGTTGCATTATTTTTGGATTGTCTGGCTAGTTTAATCATCTCGTTGACCAGAAGAATATTCTCCTGGATGTTCCCGCCTTGAATGAAGCCTGTTTGGTCCGGGTGGATGATATCCGACATTATCGGTGCCATACGATTGGCCAATGCCTTTGCCATCATCTTGTAGACCACTGTGAGCAGGTTGATTGGTCTGTAGTTTCTGATATTTATTCTTTCTCCTTTTTTATAGAGGAGCGTCAAAACTCCCTACCCAACCAACTCCCCAGTTCGTCCTGTGGTCCAAGTTTCATGGTAATATTCCATGAGATCGTGTGAGATGTTTGGCCACATTGTCACCCATAATTCTTTGGGGAGCCTATCTATGCCCGGCATGTTTTCGTATTCCATTTGCATCAATGCTGTCCATATTTCCTCTTTTGAAAGGGGCTTATCTAAACTATCTCTTTGCTGTTCTGTAAGGGTTTTATTGAGTGGGCGTAAGAAGTCATCTTCTTCCATACGCTGGCGCATCGGTTGGTTCCCACATTCTGATGTGAACAAGGTCCGATAAAAATCCCTTGCTATTTTTGTGCAGGCAGCTGTGGATGTGTGCAAGGGGCCTTGCGTAACTTTGGGGTCCTCTAAGGCCTCGATTACAGTCCGTCCTGATTTGGCCTTGGCCATGGCAAAGAACCTTGCATCCATGGCTCCTTCCATGTTATATTTGGAGAGTCTACCCCGGATTCTCACGCCTTGCCATCTATACTCCATAAATTCTACAAGGCGGGCTTCTATGGTTTGGATGACTCTGGTGAGCCCCTCTTGGTCAACCTCTGTCTCGTTTTCCTGTCGTTGCATGTGTTGTAGTTGGTGCTGCAAGTGTAATTCTTCCGCGTGGCGACGTGCCGCAAGAAGTTTTGAGTATTCGTTGCACTTGCAGCCCAAAAACGCCAGGTCGTTGTTGAACCATACAGTTTTGTCTTGGATTTGGCTTTTCTGTTCCTGCCAATAGGACCACACCTCTGCGAGGTAGGTCTTGAAGCGTTCGATGGACAAGAGGGATGTGTTCAGTTTATAAAAGTCTCTACCCTGGTCCGTTTTTTTCCTGAAGGAGAAAGTCGCCACGCACATTGCGTGATCCAGGCCCGGGTAGGGGCTGCGAGGGAATATTCCTGCTATCTGAAGCGCCCCTTGTAGCTCCTCTGAAGCGAGTATAAGGTCGATCCAGGATTTGGACGCCTTTTCTGTACTGCTCTTGCGAAAACAGGTGAAACGGCGGTCAGTGGGGTAATGTCTTCGGAAGGTATCAAAGAGGTCGAGGGATTGTGACAACTCCGTTACTAGCCTCTCGTCGTTTTCAACGTAAATTGGGCAGGGGGTGGGGATTTTTCATCTGTCCAACCATCGGTCCGGCGCCGCATTAAAGTCGTCCACAAAAATCACGAGGATGCCTACCGGTAGCTTGGGTTTAAGGGACTCGAAGAAGGTTTGTCGTGTTATCGGTTCATTGGGAGCATATACGTTTAAAATGCTTACCACTTCGAGTTTCAACATTGCCAATAGATAGACCCACCTGACCCCCTCTTGATCTGCATCCCAATTGAGCATTTCTGCTTTGGAGCCCGGCGGGAGCCATATGGCTACTCCCCCGCTGCCGGGACACGGGGCGTGAGCCCGGAAGGCTTGATATGCCCATAACTCGTTATGCCTGTGGTTGTGCTCCGGGTTATCCATAAGGTGGGTTTCCTGTAGGCATATAACGTCCGGCCAGACCTTCCCGTCAACTCCTTTTAGTTGGTCCATTATCGCTTGTCGTTTAGGGTGCTTTACTGAGGCGAGTCTGTTCACATTCAATGAGTGAAGGTCAAGGTCAGCTTGTCGTTTGCATAGTTTCCAAATTTTGTCTTTACCATACAAGGCATCAACCACATTCATTTAGTTGTAGCTTCCTTGACTATCCTTATGCCTTTACAAAGGCAGTCAATTCCCTGTGTCCAAAAGGTTGTCTTTCTGCAGTATACTATTTCTGAGAATTTTTACTAAGAAGTCCTCTATTTCTTTCGTAGACTTGGGGTCACCTGCCTTTATTTTTAAGAGTTGCAGGTCTTTAAGTCCCTCTTGGTCCAACCAACGTAACTCATCTGATTTCAGGTGATCATATCGCAAATATATGTTTTTGGTCCCCAGTCTCTCTTGCCCCCGGGAGAGCACCAGGGCTGTGGAGGCCCCTGCCGGGAGCCGGTTCTGAATCAGTTGGCGGATGTCCGCCTTTCCGAGCAGCGGACTTCCGGCCCAGGATGTCAATGAGAGAAACACCGTGGAGCAGCCCCGAAGGGAGACTTCCCCATTTGTGGTCCCCGGGGGCGCTGACAGGCCCACCTCCCATGTCCCTTTTTTTTGTCTGTGGACCATCCCACTCTATCATAAGCCTTCTCCATATCTAATAGAAGGATGACCACCTCCCTTTTTTCACTTCTTATTACTTCTAGTGCTTGGACAGTAGTCATTATGTTTTCGAATATCGAACGGCCTATAACAAAGGTACCCTGTTCCCAACCTACCAGATCCGGAAAGAATTCAGCGAGTCTCAGAGCCAGAGCCTTCAACGCAGCTGATGTCGGGGCAGTGACCCTGTAACCTTCGGGGGCTTTTCAGCTAAGGAAGTTGTCGAGGGAGGAAGACACTTCCTGACCGTCAGAACCAGCTCGGTCGGTACTGGGGCAGTTGGTGTTGCCCTTTCATCCTAGCAGGGAGGGTATGAGATCTAGCAAGTTCTGGTGCGAGGACTGAACATCTGGGCTACGGTCTTTCCTCTGTGGTGCGAGGGAAGAGCTGGATTGTTGGTGGTTTTTGTTTTCCTTTCTTCCTGTTTTTAGGCCAATCAGACTTCTCTTGTATGTTCCGAGTCTAGGGGCCTCGTTCGACACTCCTCGGGGCCCGAAATTCCCCAAGGAAATGGTCGTTCCACTCATCCTCGGGGCAGACGCGGAAAAGAAAATGTGAAAACATTTCCTTGGGGATTCCTCGGGGCCACAGCCATTTTGGCGATTTCCCCAAGGGACCTCCCGAGGTCCCTCGGAGGTCAAGCTTCCGGAAGAATCGGGCCGTCGACGGCAGCTCCTTCGACGACATTTTTTAATTCTGTTTGGTCCATCGGTGGTCCTGCCTGCGTCTCCACGGACATGTTGGGTCGCCAACATTCGGCTTCACTCCAACGGTTACCGTTTGCGGCCTACCGGCATCCCCGACGTCCAGAAGGCACCGTCTTGCGTCGTCGCGTTTGGCAATCCGCGGGAATTTCCCAACGGTCGGCAGACACGAATATTTCAGCCCGCACTGCCTCTCCCAATTACGCACTGTCCGTGGGAGATTGAAGTGGGAGATCGAAGACGCCCTCAGGGGTTTGTTGAGAAGTCGGGACGGCCGTTTGCGGCACTTCACTCCGCTGTTATGTTGGTGCCCGCGTTGTCTTCCGTCTGCTGCCGTCGTCGTCGACTGTTTCATGGCTGACGTGTTCCGCAGGCTGCCGCTGCTGCTCCTCGTTGTCCTGTTGCTGCTCCTCGTGGTCCTCTTCCGCGTGTGCATCCTTGGGAACGTGCCGCCGCGTCGATGCAAAAGAAGGTCTTCGATGACGGACGCCAAGACGGAGGCAAGGCAGGCGATCCCCCGGTCCGGAGGGGAGCAGGTCGGAGGGAGGCGGTGCGGGGGGAGCCTGTCGACAGTTGGTAGGGCCTCCCAGCGGGTTGGGTATGAGGCATTGCCACCGCACTTGCAACCACTCCCCGGCTCATCAGAAAAGGAGGAGGAGGTGGAGAGACGGCCACAAACCGTGTCGTTGGGTAGCGGATCAACGCAGGAGTGGGCAGCCACAGAGCTGTGCGGGACGGGCGGCATCGTGTACGACCAGTCATTCATTGAACTCCTTCGGCCTGGCCTTAGCGAAGACGAAGGAGATGGCCGCGTCAACCTGTCGTTTGGTTTGTCCACCGGGCGGTCTACAACTCCATCGCGGACAGTGCTCGTGCGACCCCATCCCGGCGACGAAGGCGGGCAATTGACAGTCGTCGATCGATCAGCGAGGACGAGGGCGTTGGCGAGTGAAACGACGGGAGCAAACCGAAACTCGTCGACGCCCCAACCACGGGCGGCCTCTCTGTCCAAGGGCGCCCTGGGTCGGCTGGAGTGGATGCAGTTGCCGTCTCCCCTGTCTGCGGCATCTGAAGTGGCACGAGGGCATGGCGTCAGCGTCGACGGCGGGACCAACTTCTTGGATGTTGGTGATGGTCGCGACGGGAGGGAGGTGTGGAAGGACCTGCGCCGGGATCAACGGCTGCGGCGAGAGGAATGCATCACATGGGGTAAGAGGTGTGCAATGCTTGCGCAGCGATGGAGAGTGCAAGCCGTGAGAGGGCTTACGGGGGAGAAAGGGTTTGTGGCATCGTTGATGACTGCGTCCGGGGCAGGAGGCCATGAGCGTGCGGGGTTAGTTTCACTCATGTGGGAGCGATTGTCGGTCAAGTGTTTTGTTGTCCTGCTGAACAGTTTGCGACGTCCTTCTTTCATTTTCATTCGTTTGTATCGTATTTAGTTTTCTCAAATTTTATTTTCGTGAACTTGTTTCCTTCACTGGATTTCGTCATGCCACTGTTCACATGTGGCATGCGGAGTAAAAGGTGCAATGCTTGCGCAGCGAATATCCTTATGGATGATGTTTTTTTTGTCTTCCCATCGATGCGTGGTCTTCTGTTTTCGTTCGATCCATCACTTGTTTTTGGTAAAACGCATGCATGGTGGGTTCGGTTTCTTCTCTCATTGAGTGCTGAATGTATGTGCCAACAAAGTTATGCATCATGGTTCGTGCGTATGAAACATCCAATCATTTATTTCGTCTTCCATTCCATCATAAAAAGAAAAACTTAATCGAACGTCTGTGGGGAGTCAGAACGGTTAACAAACAGGTAACGCAAAGGTCGATGCAGACAAAGCGGATAAAAATCTTCCAAACCATGGACCAAAACAACAGTATTGCAAACCCATGCAATCCGACCTCCCTTGAACAGAACAACAAAAGAAATGGCGAATGAACTGTATTTTGCCCACACCATTGGGAGCGAAGGAAACTCATATCTTAAAAAGGGATTCCCCTTAGATGGCAAATGCATTTCCAGGTACCAGCAAAGTTGCATTGTATTCAATCAAACCCCCCACACACCCCCCCCCCCCCCCCCCCCCCCCCCCCCCCCCCCCCCCCCCCCCCCCCCCCTCGCCCGTCGTCCCCCGTCATCACAACTACTGCACGTCGCCGACATGCCACGTGCCCCCGCGCCACGCTCACCCACCCAATATCCGCAACAACCAACTCCACTACCTGAACGAACAGTAACGCTAACCGCCCCGTAGTCCCTGTCGATGGACAAGCAACAAAAAAAAGAAAAGAAAAAAAAAATTAAAGCGACAGCGTACACAAACCACTCGTCGCCACACAACTCTAGACACCTGACCGCACCAACCACGGGAGACACGTCAGGCACTTCTCGCCAGAACGACACTACCACGGGCGGACTGCTACGGCGAAAAAAGGAAGATCTCTCCCTGGCGGACGGCGACGTCGATTGCGGCTGCTGCCCGGATGCTTGACACTTCGCGTGATGACAACGAAACACCACAACCCGGCGGCTGCATAATGGACGGCCTGATCATGTTGACGACACGGCGCCGCCTGTTCATGTGGGATGGCCACCTCCCCTTCCTTCCGCCACTGGATCTCATCGGTAATTCCCCGCATCTCACAGCTTCGTTCCCCAGACTCGTTCCACTCATAGCGGGGTCTCCAACTGCGAGCACAGCCGTCCTCACTGCGCAATCATCCGCTCCACCAACGTGTCCCTCAATATCAGCGCATCCCCCGTCGAAGACTCCATGCACACTGGCCGCAATGGCTGATGCATCCCCAAATCCACTCTACGACGCACGCCGTCAGGACCCACCTCCCACAGGAGATTGTCATCAAATGGGATGCCGGCGTCGATGAGTATGTTGTGGAGGATGCAGACGACGACAAATTGCTGCGGCAAGCTGTCCATGTTGCACTTGTGGGTGGGGAGGAACAACCGCCACATCCCCTTCAGTCTGCCAAACGCCCTCTCCACTGCTCCCCTCGTCGTCTTCTGTTTGTTGTCGAAGCGTGCCTCCGTAGGGTGTTGTGCGAGACCGCCGTAAGGGAAGACTATCCATTCCGACTGGGGATAACCGTTGTCGTCGAGCAAGTAGCCATTAGTCCGCACACCGAAAGGCAGCATCACAGGCGGCCCAGTGAAAAGTTGTCCTGACCCCGCGCGCACCCACAAACTCGACAGATTCAGCATCCTCATGTCGCGCACACTCCCCGGATAACCGACGAAGACGTCCAGCACACGCAAGTTCATGTCGACCACCACCTGCGCCTGCACGGAGAATCGACGTCTCCTGTCGCAGTAGTCCTCACCGTTGGCGTTCGCAGGTTTGTCGATGTAGATGTGTGTGCAGTCGATGCACCCATGGCAGTTTGGAAACCCCTTGTCCGCGAACGCGTGCAACACGACCGCCTTCTGCAAACCTGTGGGCCATGATATCTTGTTGGGATACGCAGCCAGCAACGCCGCCGTGACGTCACGCACCGCCGTGATGTCGGAAGCCCTCCCGATGCCGAAGCTACACGTCCCGATGTCGTACGTCTCCCCGGTGGCCCACCTGTACAGTGTGTACGCAATGATGTGGTCTGGCTGCAACGGCACCCTATAGAACGTCACACGGCGTTGAAGGAGTGGGGAAAGAGTCTCTGCAATCTCGCGGAAAACACGAGGCGACATTCGAAGCTTTTCCTTGAAGTAATCATCCGTCGCGTCATCACATTGACGCAGATCCTCCCACGTGCCGCCCGTCCGCCGCTTCACCCACCACCGTGGAGTCACCCGTGGAAACCCGTCGCACCCCATCGCGTAGCAGACCTCCAGCACTGCGTCGGAAATGGCAGCCACATCCAAGCACTGGCCAGTCGTCGGAAGCGCCAACAACTTGCGCCGTGCACGACCAGCCGTTTTGAAGTTCGCCTCACTGCTCGCCATTTGGCGACGGAAGAGGACGGCATTCACCGCCGCAGCAACAGTCGTCCGCTCCGCCGTCGTCATACCGTCGCGCCCTGCCCCGCCGTCAATATCCATCCTAGACGCTGCTTATGATGACATGACGTCAATCAAACTACTCGACTCCACAAACACCGCCACGCGGAAGATCACAGCGCCGCCTATGCGCAATACCTTGGGAGCCACGCAGTGACGATGGTCGTCTGCCTTTCCCAACACTCAGGTTTCGATGTCGTCTCCCTTGCCGCCAACGCGTACACGACCGTGCTCATCGACCACAACCGCTGGGGACAATCGTCACTTATGCGAACTATGTGAACGCCACGAACGCCAGACGCAGAAGCAACCAGGCGTGAAACGTACACCCACCACGCACCACCAATCGCGAAGCCAGATTTCAGATTTCGAATTTTGAACACGAGTGCTGCGCGCCATTTCCAATGGCCCCGGTTTTGTTTTTTTTCTCGTTTCCCGCCGTCGTGCGAATTCGCGACGGCCAACAGAGGTGGACCAGCGCCGTCCGCACGGACACAACTTGGTGGACCACTGTCAGCCCCACCCCCGCGTCCGCTTGTGCATATATAAATCTGGGCCGCGGGAGCCCCGAGGAATCGTCCTCGGGGGTCGACTCCGAGGATGAGTGGAACGAAGGCGACAATTTCCTCGGGGGACTCCGAGGAATCGTCCTCGGGGCCCGAGGACACCCCGAGGAGTGTCGAACGAGGCCCTAGTTCTCATGAAATTTTCTGATGGATTTCTGAACCTACTTGCTATGGGACGCTGGGCCCGGTTCCCAGTTTGTGCCAATCTGTGAGGATGTGGTTGTATCTATGGGACGCTGGACCCGGTTTCCAGCAGGTGTTGCTCCCCACCAATAGATGGAGCTTGTGTGCTTTAAAAAAAGGAAAAAAAAAAAGAGCCTTCGCCAAGATCTTATAGATGACGTTTAATACAGAGACTGGTCGATAATTCTTGACTTCTGTTTTATCTCAGTTTTTATACAGTTACCGTAGTGAAATTACTCCTTTTGCAAAGCCCTTGGGTAGGAAACCCGTCTCTAGGATCCTATTGTACATTTGGCAAAGAAAGGGGGCAAAAGCACCCCAACATTCAGAGAATGAAGTTTCAGCTAGAATATGACAAGATACCACCTGGCCTAGCTCAGTTGGTACACCCTTGAACTGTTGAAATGCAGACCTGAGTTCAAATTCCAGTGGAATCTGACGAGTGAAAGTAACTCTGAATTTACCTGGGGCTGGCTATCCCAGGGTCATAGCCCTTTCAAAAAAGGCAAAAAAAAAGGAGGGTGGCTATTTCAAGGCCATCACCCTTCCAAAACAGGGAGAACGAAGAAGGGAGACATGGGAAGACACACGGCCGTATTTTTTTTTGTCTTTAGTGCATGTCTTTTTTTTTTTTTTTTTTTTCCTCTCTCAATTGCACCTCACACTACCTACCTACCACCACTACTCCTAATTGTAGGCATATGGGAACCCCGTAGCAGCCAGAACTGTGTTCACAAAAGAACATGCGGGGGATGCTCCCGACCTGCAGGTGGGCGATACCGGCTAGGGGACATCCGGTAGCCAACAGGACCAATCCCTGTGCCTTCCCTCAGGTCCCCTCCCCTACGAGCATCGGCAGACTCTGCTCAATGCCGATCGGGGGATCCAGTGGTCTATCTCTAGGTGGCAGGCACCAAGCATGCCCAGGAAAGTACATGAGGGCGATGGGGATTGAATGGTTTGAACCCATGACCTCCTGAACGCCATTTGCGAGCCTTACCATGTCGGGAGTAGTGGGCAAGGCCCCATGTGTACCTGTGGTCCGGATTTTTTTATTTTTTTATTTTCTTAACTAAGCTATATTCTTCTCTGAATCTATCTATGTACTCGTCCATCTCATCTATCTCAGCCTCTTGCTAGTCTATGTATGTATAGTACAGGGGAACACCAATCAACCCAGATCTTTCCCCAGCCCACGGGGTAGGTTTGCACCACAGCGGTGGTGCGAGAGCAAGGCTGGGTGGGCAGGCATTGCCGACGGGGTGAACCGGTAGTGTCAAGCCCTATGACCAGTCGCTGCACCTCCCCCTACCCCCTCCCACCCCCACATTAGCGGTGTCTAATTGGCTATATCGTTGCTGCATAGCAACCAACAACATTGGCCAAGGTCCTGCCCAGGCTGGCTTGGAGAACCAATGGGTTACCTCTCGCTGGTAGAACACCAAGCTTGCCCAGGCACATACGTGAGGGCAATGGGGATTGAACCCACGACCTCCTGAATGCAACGCCTGTGCCCTTACCAACTGAGCTTGGATCAGGGCAAATGTACGGGGCCGAATCTTTGGCCCGGACCCCGCAGGCATGCGGAAAAGCGTAGGTTTTGGCGCAGAGGGTTTTTTCAGACCCCACAGGCCGTCGGGCATGGCCTGGAAGAACTTCAGCTTCCGTTTCCACTCGCTGTAATGATGGCGGAATCCTCCGTGGCACCCAAGAATTCCAAATTAACATGCCAAAGTTACATGGTAGGTCCCAGAGAGTGCGGACGTTGCGATAAGCCTTGTGGCATTCATCACCGGTGTGACGGTGTCATCGTTCTGTGTGTCGGTGTCATTACAATCTGTTGGACGATTCGGACGAGAGGAAGTGATCCAGTATGCTGTCTTGAGCATGCAATGTCGGTTGCATATGCATGGAGGACGGTAGCCGTTTGACGTCGACCAGGGACGAGACATGGCGGCAATGGAAGGAGGCATCATGCCGTCACAGGATGGCGTCGGTTTGTCATAGCTGAGCCAGGACGCATCCATGTGTTCTTCACCGTCACCTCTGCCATTTTCCATCAGCCCCTTGCCCGAATGGAAGAAAAGCTTGGTCACTCCATCAAGGCTGGGATCGTTGTATCGATCGACGATCATCGTTCACCCTGATGGTCAGACGTCCTTCGACGACAGGGGGTGGATTCATCAACGCAGGCAGTGCACCGATCGCTTCCAGCAATCCGGTGCAGCAGTTCACAGCCCGCTTCTCATGTGCGTCACCAACCTTCATGCCGATTCCATCAGCTTTTGCTAAAGCACGTGACTTCAGTGTGGAAAGCACATGGTTGATCATGCAGTGCAGGGTCCCTCCTGGCAGTGATATGCAGAGCGCGGGCGGGACTTGGCATGCGCCGGGGGTAGAGAGGTCGTCATATTTTTTGGTGTCGGATGGCTTTGTCTCCAGCATGGCGTCACATGAGGTTGACGGCCGTCCTGCACACACACCGTCCGGCCGTGGGTACAGTAGCGATGACTCCGCAATTCCAACACAAAGGCACAACCGTCATGTGACACCCCCTGCGAGGCCCTCTGCAACAGTGGACAATGATTTTGTTGTCGCGGACAACCAGGATGATCACATGTCCGTCGACGGTGCTGGAGAGAGGAACAGGGGCACTGCAGATGGTGCTGGCATGCAGGATGTCGCCAGCGGAAGGTCCACTGAGGATGTCGGGAAGCCTTCACAAGCCACTCTGACAGATAGCGCGAAAAAGAACAAGCCTTGGGTGTTGGAGGAGAAAGTGGATCTGGCGGAGGGCATGAGAGGATGACGCACTCATGGCGAGTGCAAGTGGGAGGCACGAACATATGAAAAGATCAAATAGGAATGAGTGGGTGGCGAAGAGGATGTCGGAGAGAGGATAGAACAGAACCGCATTGGACTGGAGGAAAAAATGGTCGTTTGATGAACAAGCTGCGCATTCTAAGGGACAAGTGCGGTGGTTCCGGAAAGCCGTCGTATTGGGATATGATCGGCAAGCAGCGTAGGAAGGAGGGCGTGTTTCCTTCATTTGAACAGCCGCTATGGGAGGTGACGGAGTGATACAAAAATCTCACGTCCGTGAGATGTGACAACACTTTGGCATCATCATCGTTGCGTGGGGGAGATGGAGGATCCTCAAAGGCTCACGTGCCAGGGGTTGTCGGGACTTCAGAAACGGGAGGGCCTGGAGGAGGTTCAGACGGTGTTGGGATATCAACGGCTGGCGGCCAGTCGCACGAAAGTGGTTCGCCTTCTCCTGCAGGGGGAGGGACAACGAACGATTCGGAGAGCGATCAGAAGATACGTATATCGGTGACACGGCCACTCAGATGGGCAACGTAGCGATGACCATGCAACAGGGGAATCACATGCTGGAGATGCTGGTCAGGGTTGTGGCACGGCGATGATCCGACGATGGCGCATGCAGGGGTGGCTCGGGGGAGCCTGAGGGCAACAATCCGGCAAGCCCATAGATTGGTGACGCCTGTACGACATGCACGGAGGCGGCAGACAGCAGACCCGGCTGGCGTGAGCGGCAGTGGACAACAGCAAAAAAAAACAAATCTGATTCAATGAAGTTGAATAAACATATATAATTATTAAATTATAAATTTTCATATATACATATATGTTTTTTGCTGACCTGTCCGGCAAACCACAGGGAGAAAGGAGGAAGAAGACAACGAGCGTCGGGTTGTGACAAATTGTCACGTAGGAGTTCCAGCAACTCATGTGTCCACACGGCTCCAGATCCGTGACATCACTGATAGGCATGCGGTTCGTCGCACCCCGTCATTTGTTGTCCCTATTCTCTTTGTTATCCACGCACGGTTCACCACCCACACCTATATAGATAGATAGATAGATAGATATAGATATAGATATACGCCACTCTGCTCGTGTCTCGCAGACTGTTTTTTCATGCCTCCGGCCCATTGGGGTTCCCTTGTTGGAGAAGTATTTAAGGATGCAGTGACATGCTATGTGAGTCAACAGCAGCGTCCTCCCCGTGGCCTGTGTGGTCGCCCGTGCCGTGCTGAACAATGTCGGCGGGATGCTCTATTCCTATCCCTTCGGGTGCCCATTGTCGTGGGTGGGGGGAGGGAGAGAGAGCGAGAGCGAGAGAGAGAGAGAGAGAGAGAGAGAGAGAGAGAGAGAGAGAGAGAGAGAGAGAGAGAGAGAGAGAGAGAGAGAG